CGATTTGGACTGCTTTCAGCCGCTTTTGCTTCTTCATCAGTAGTACCCAATTGTCCATTGAGAAAGGCTCCCAATTCTGCCAACTATGTAGACTATTAGCTTGATAAAAGCTAGAGAATGTATACTTGTTCCAAGCCTTCCAGGCAGCGAGATGGATTCTCCATAATATGTCTTTCGACGAATTTGCAGAAAGTGGAAGGCTACTCACCTAAATTTCTCAAGAATATCATTCGGCAAGAAATCCAGAAGCAACCTGACAGTAAATTGAGCCTGTCTCGCGGCACCCACAATGTCTTCAATCTGTGCATCTTCTTCATCTTCAGAGGAGTCATCAGAGTTCACATGGATATCCAGAGCTGGAACTGGCGTCTTCTCAAGCTGCAGGTAGACTTTCCTAACATGCTGAATGCCCGGATTTGATCGACTCAGTAGACCGGAGACTCTGATGTCTTTGTGGCCGCCGATGAAAAGCAGTACTTTTCGATACAGCGGTGGAGTAGCGATGTCTCGTAGTCGCTTACTTGTCAGGCATAGTGACTTGAGATCTTCCGGCCGTGTGATCTGCAACGACGTTATGAACATTGGTCTAGTTGACGGTTCAAAAGAGAGGTGCAGTGGAGGCTTCTTACGTAGCCGAGAATAATGTTCTTCTTGACGTCGAGCGGGACATCGTTGAAGTGGATAGGCTTAGAGTCCATCTTTAATCAAAGGAAACAACACAGGAAGATGACGCCGTGTGCAAAATCCTCGAATGTGGATATGGAGCATATGCGTAACACGATGATGATCCCCTCCTAGAATAACGCTTCGAGTTTTAAATTGATGGGGAAAAGCAGCAGACTAGGACTTGACTTATATTCTCAATTGTTTATATATTCCAGGCACATTTTTAGACAGGTAGAAAGATACTTCGCTGATGTTGAGAGGTTAATGAAGGAACGAAAGGGGAAAAAGAGCAGGATGCAGCTTGGGCTAGTCAACGTTGGGACGAGTGCAGCGGTGAGGCTGAAGTCACCAGCTTTCCGCAGCCTCACCTCTTTCACACAACTGTTGGACCTCAGGACAGATACATTCGTTGCTCAGGGTGATAACTGAGCGCCAATGGTTAGAGAAGGGACTGCACTTTTGCTTCGGATTTTGAAATACGCAGTTGAAGTGACGCTTGGCTTAGCAGATAATGGGCGTATGGCATGATTCGCTATAGTAGTAATGTATAGACTGTAATGTACCACGATTCGAGAAAGCAGATGGAGTACACATCCCTCAAAGCGCTCTACGTTATCAATGTCGAGCCTGTGGTTCCTCCAACACCAGTGCTAAACTAATACATGCTTTCATACGTTAAATAATAATCACTTCTTGCCTTTCCTTCCTGCGACTCCACCAGCAAACCTCCCAAGGTTCCCCAGACTCGACTTCGGCTTGTGCAAAGGACCACTGGGAGGTGCAGGTCTCTGCGAAGCAGTTCCTGCACTGGACGGTCTTAACGCCTGCTTTGGTACATCAGGCAGTGTGTTGTCCTTGACTTCTGCAACCGTAGTATTATTAGCGGATGTGCCATCCTCTACCTGGTTTTGCAGTCGATGCGCTCTCCTAGCCTTCTCCTGCACGCTTCTAAACTTTTCAAGCAATTCAGTCCACCTGATGGCGGCTTCTTCTCTGGGCTTGAGTCTGTTTGGGCGGTCGAAGGTTGCGCCGGGCGTTTGAGGAGCGCTACCAAACTTAGCCTCGGTGTTCTTCTGTCGGACGTGAGATACGTACGTGCGTGGCGCGATGTGAAGGTAGCCTATAGCGCTAACGCTATTCAAGCGATTCTTCAGCGCTGCGAATGCAGAGGACTGAGGGAGTAGCATGAGTAGCCCGTAGAGACACTTGTAAAGATGCGGGTACCTTTCTGGTTCTAGGAGCTGTAGACGGAGGTCTAGTCTCAAGTTAGCGATGCTCTCCCAACCTCCAGATGATGCACGTACACGTAAAAACGGGCGACTCGAGCAGCTGCACCAACTTGTCAATCTGGATAAGCATATTGACAGTCATCTCCAACTCCGCACTGTTTGAGTCAGCTGTAGCTAGTGCCAGATCATCAAAGCGGCCTACAAGATCTGGAGTAAATTGTAAGCCTGCTCATATGCTTGTGCAAGCAAACATAGCGAGAAGGTCGCGACCGCATTGTGGCACCAAGACCTGAATAAAGCGACGAAGAAGACTTGTCCATCTTTCGTCTCAAGAATCCGCAATCTCTTCCGCAGCTCGGCCAGCTCTGGCGCCGTGATAAGGTTGTTATTGAGATTCTGAACCATGATACTTGCAAACTCGACGTCCTCATCCTTCTCTAAACAGTCGGCCAAAGTCCGATATATCCTTTCTGCGCTCAAGCTCACGCATAGTTGGCGAATTATCAGGTTGCCTCTTGTCTCAAGAAGTCTTCTGTCAGTGCAGAAAAGTTGCAGGAGGTTGACCATGAAGGATGTGAAGTAGCCATCTTCGCTATTCTTTGATATCTGAGAGAGCAGTTGTAAGTCGCGGGTGACAACAGCTTCTGCAGGATCTGACAATGTCTTCAGGAGAGCTGGGAACGTGCCGTCATTGGTGGCGAGAACCTTGCGAGGAGCCCTCCGATGTAGCATGATCAGCCAAGCCAAAGCAGCAACCCTAGTGGCTTCGTGTTCGTTCAGGAAGTGCAATATGAGAGCACCCACGGCGGCTGTATAGTCAAGGTCAGTGACCGGTCTTGGTGGTGGAGGTGACGTAGATGTCGGAGGCGTTGACACTGTTGCCTCTTCATCCTTCTTGGCCTCAGCTTCTCCTTCAACCCCCTGTGGTAGTTTCGGCGTTGGCGTCGAAGCACGCCTCGTTTTATTGTCGGCTTCCTTAGCGGCTTCTTTTATGGTGGTTGTTGGGTCCTTCATAACACCAGTCGGAATACGAGATGGTGGTAGTGGCCGAGCCTCTTCTGGGATACCCTCATCAGGTAAAGACGCAATATGATCCATCAAGGAATTGTTTACTCGATTCGCAGCTTGTCGCACGAGGTCCGCCCCACTAGCCATTGCAGGTAGCACTTGCGAAAGAAGTCGAGGAACAAATGCTAGGATGTCCTCTGGATTTATCTCGAAAAAGCTGTCGATCCAGCGTAGAGCGGTAAGCTGTATTTCTTCTTCTGCACTCAAGAGTCAGTCGAACAGCAGAAGGATAACAGTGGGGTTCATACCTGATGAAGAGTCAAGAAAAGCCACGAGAATCTCTAAGATCTTAGAATGATCAACCTGGACATCTTGCCCCGGTACCCAGTCGCCATCATCGTGACCACTTTTCTCATCCTGGCCTCCCCCAAAGTCACCATCCACGATATCCGACTTCTCATTAGGTGTACTCCTGTCAGTGCGTATACTAGCACTATCACTTGAGTTGGATTGTTTAGCCTGGTCATCACTGTCTCCCTTTCGGCTTTCCGCTATTCCTCGTTTGATCCTAGCGATCTTCTTTATTTCGTTCAAAAACCTTTCGAGCGTTCCTTGTGTTGCAACATGTACATCTCTGTTGGGGTCGCTGAGGAACTGGAACAAGCCTCCTAGAAACGCTGGTAGATAATGGACAAGCTCCAGATCTGGTATGGTATCCAGTAGAGTGACCCATGATACTAGAAAAGTACGAGTGAACGGATTGATGACGTGAATGCGCTCTTGTAGCAGTGGTATGAATTTGGCGAGTGAGAAGGCCGTAGGAAGGTCAAGGGATGAGGTCTTATCAGAATCCTTGCTTGGGCGAGGACTTGAGACGGCTTCATCGGGAGATTGTAAGACAGAGACGTAGGTCGAGGCAGATTCAGAGACTATATCTTTGACCAGCCGATCAAGCAATTCCGCACCGTTTTTCACAGACAATTCCGAGTCCGCAGCAAGCTTTATGAATTTCAGTATGTGCTAGCTTGCAGGTTTGCGTAACTGCCTACCTTACAAAGGGCATCAAAAACATCGTTGAAGAATAGTAGTATTTCTCCTTTTGCAACCTTAGCAATATTGTACATGCTCTCACACGCGTAATATCGGACCCTCGCATCTTGGTCGGTGAAACAGGCGAGGACTGGCGGAACAATCGACTTGAGGTAGCGAGCAACATCGTCCTATTTCCGTGTCAGACTTGCTCATCGTTGACCAGAGCACGGCTGGACTTACAGAGCCTAGTGCGATTGAAGCTGCAGCAAGGCCAATCAATCCCCCATTCCTGGCGTGCGGCTGATGGACTGCATAGGCATAGTCATGGCAGAGCTGCTCAACAATCCTGCCAATTCTCTCGTACTCCTTGTTTGCACTTGCTTCTCGAACGATCCTTTCTAGGCTGGAGGCTCGTAAGCAGTCTGACGTCTAAAGAGGGTCGCGCGAGGACAGACTCAAGAGCACCTTGCTTCCTTTTGTCATAGAGCTTGTCGTTAAGCAGACGCTGCACAGCGGGATCCATTGTACGAAAAGAGCCAGCTATCGAAACATCGTTGAGTGCGTAGGAGAACCCCAATGGGTATTGGCTCAGAAGCCTGATGTTCACATAAAAACCTTGGGATACCGCTATTAAAAGAGGAAAAAGATTTGCTTAAGCCGTGAGATCGCAATGCAATACCAAAGCCAGCCCACAAAATATCAACATGAAGAGAAGTAGAAGAAACAATCACTGTGCAGTGTGCACCAAGGGAACGAGGTAAACATATAGGGCACCAACCCTACTTGATTACCTAGCTGGGTCACAATCTCCTTTACCTCTAGCCGCCTACATCTACATGTTGAAGTTATGGTACTGTGCAACAGGAATGAAGAAGTACATTGTGGTTGATCATGACCACCTCCCAGGTAAAATGACTAGATGGTGGATAGCAACCTTGAGACTGAAACCTTTGTCACGCCCTGGAGTGTCCTTTAGGCTCACACGAACCTCTATGCAAAGTAGATTTGATAGCAGGATGAGCACACACGCTAATCGCATTATCTATCTTTGTTCTCTTGACCTTTTCAATGTTCTCGGTCTTTGAAACCCATGTTCATGGTCACTCCCACTTCCTAGATCACGACCGCCACAATGTTTTGACCTCCCACTTTCTCCCAACCTTCTCGTGGTCATTTGGCTCACACTTTCCTTCGGAGATTTTAAGCAGTTTCCCGCCTTGCTTTCTTCTCTCTCCTCGGATGCCAAGCTAGTCACACGACTGTAAGGCAACGGCACGTCTTTGGCGGATCTCACTTCAGTGATTGGTATCAAATTTGACCACCGAGCCGTCTTTCCGTGGGAAGATGCATGCGAAGCTTTCGAATTCCCGGAGTCAGCCACCGAAATCTTAGTGACGCTTGGAGGGCTGGTCACACCCTCGACATGGCTCCGGGTAGCTGAGCGGGAGAAGTGATGCGAACGCTCTGACTGCGAAAGCAGATCGTCAATATATGAGCGCGGCAGTGGCGAAGCAGCAATTGCATGATGAAAGGATTTGCTGCTAGCCCGAGAGAATTCGCGTACGTGACTGTCCTTGTCTGCTTGAATTGGGTCGTAGGTGACTGGTGCTTCGATGGTTCTGGTGGTGATTCTCTTTTGCTGCTCAACGCGAAGGGTTTCGATTTGGCTTTTGGTCATGGCTGGATTACAGTTTCGCAGTCAGTTTCGCCTAGTTGAGAGGATATATGGAGCCTGAAACATGCTCCGAGAGTAAGTCTCCCAGGATATGTCTCAAGACTGAAGATCTGGTTCAAAAGAGGGAATATTGAATTCGACAACACGTACCATAGGCTACAACAGCCCCTGCTGTAGCTCCTAGAACGGTTCCAATGATTGCCTTGGTTTTGATATCGTCATCTTTCGGGGTTGATTCTGGCCTGACGCGAGTGACGACCACGGCTGGTGATGTCATAATTTGATTGACGACCACCTTAGGAGGCTCTCGTTCTGCATGCCGAGCTTTGGAGTGTGGTGCTTGGACTGTCGATCTTGGAGCTTCGTCAGCTATGCTGTCTGCCACATCTTTCGTCCATGCTAAGACGCGGTCCTTTTCCGAAATGCGTGTTCCGTCCCTTTCGTTTGGTTCATCTCGATACATGACTCTGCTGAAGCTGTCGACGGATTGCGTCGAATGAGAGTACTCTGTGTTGTTCCTGATGTGGAGTGAAGTTCGAGAAGACCGCGATTGAGGCTTGAGTCCTGAGGCTTACTTTTGAGACGACAGAGAGACTGAGCACCCTAGAACGAAAGCTTTTCGAAGCTTCGCTTTTTGCTCTGGTAACAGATATTGAGCTTTGCCGGGTATGGCCTAGGTAATACCAGGTCTACAGGCTGTGATGTGTTGTAGTACGGTCCAGGCTTCGCGATCGTTGGAACAAGCTAGCGGGATGTAAGCAGATGTGAGGTGCTCAACCCGGGGTTCGGAAAAATTATCAGAGTCAAATGAATGATGCAAATCTCTTAGGTCTTAGCATCGATGACGAGCCTGTCGATCTCATCTTTCTGAAGTATACCTCTCAATCTGCTTAAAACCCTAAGGAGGAAGGTACTAACGATATGATGTCGGTACCTGACAGCTGCCCAAGTCACCTTGATTCGTGCCATGCAATTCGAGCGAGGCGTAGGTGCCTGAACGCTCCACCGTGGGGAAGCCACGTAGAGAACATGCAACTAAACTCGGGGATGAAACGGAAGCCTTCGGCGCCAGATATGTTACCAATGAGAGGCCGCCATAAAATTGATCAAAGTCGCTTGCTTATAAATTAGCGAAGGTAAGATACTCTACATGTAATTTTGGAATACATCAGCAATTAATAAGAGCGGAATCCCGGACGCGGAGAAGCTCTTGTACCAGGCAACGTCTTAAACTTGTGCTGTCTTCGTTTAATATCTCGGCGCGTGGTGCAGGCATAAGGGAGAAAGCAAGTGTTTATTTGTTTGATCTTGCTCGGTGAGCGCAGCTTGAGTGTTCGGTCCCACGTATAACCTCCGACCATTACTTGCTATGAACGGCAACAAGTAGGGCTTATGCAAGAGATCTCGTAATACGGTCGCTATGTATGAACGGAAAAGAAAATGTGCAGCAGTTGAATGCTGCACGGGCGCAAAGGCGCCTTGAGCCTGTTGAACCCGATGTTCTTGTTGCAAAAACAGAGCCAGTCCAATAGTCTCAACGCAACAAAGTAACGATCCACGAGTGAGCTTTGATGTTGGTATCGCAGCTTTCATGGATGCCACACAATGAACCTTTCTTTCCGTTATGAGCTTTGCCAGCCAAAGCCCTTTGGTGCTGCACGCAGAACCAACAAGAGCCGTAGCAGAATCCTCGCTGGCGGAGGGGCATACTCACCTTGGTAGCTAGACGATGTTCCACACGTCTTCCACAGCATTGCAGAACTTGCCACATGCTACGCTAGCGCTCAAGCTGTAATTGCTGATGCTGATAGCGTCATCCTTGCACATATCTGCAAAATCGTCCTTGCCTTTAGCCATGGCACCGACGAAGACGCAAACGCTTTGATTGGGGCCTATGTCTTCGATGTAGTCTTTGACCCGAACGACTTCAGCATCGTAACTGAGGGTGACCTTTCGGCAGTTGGGCGGAAGGTGGTCCGTGATGGGGTTCTTGATGACTTTGAGTAGCTTCTCTTGTGAATTGGTAGAGCGAATGGAGAGCCGATGTAAAAGCTGTACCATAAGACCGGCAAAGCGCTTGAAGGTACGAGGAATTCGGACTGTGGGGCTGACTTCGATGAGGACACCTTTTGCGGTGTGGATGTAAATCTGTAGCTTTCCAGCCTTGTTCACTGGCGAATCAAGCAACGTAAGAAGGCACTAGGGGAGACTCAGTATCAACCAGACGGATGTTGAATGCGTTCTGGTAGATAAAGCAAACCTGATGCGTGATATCCGGCCGTGCGTCGCTGATATCTCGGTTCATCTTTCGCATAACTCCGATATGCTCGTCGCTGTTTAGCAGGGAGTATTTCTCGTCTCGCATATTCCCTGACCGTCCACCGTGTGATGCTTTGTATGTCTCTAGACTCGCATTGGACAGGACGACCACGAGTCTTTGGGTGTCTTTATCATTGGCGGCGATAGGGACGTGCTGCTCGGCGACAAGCTGTGGAAGTGCGGGTGGTGGACATGACTGCGTTCCTAGACAGCAGCTGGTGAGCACAGGACCCTAGTGATGGCTTCCCACGCAGCAGTCGTCGAAAATCAGAACAGCTTACTTGGTCTCTTCCTTGATATCTCTTCGGGAGCCATCTCTCTCCTCGAATCAAAAGATAGATTTGGCAGCAGAACGCAAGAGCTCGAATTTTTGAGAATATATAGAAAGTGGAGAATTTACAACATTGAGATGAATGCAACGAGGAGGATGATTAGTTGGCAAGCAAGAAATTGGCTGTAGCACTTTGTCATATAGGATCATAGACTGTCGGCTGTGTATTTGGCACCTTCTGGATGAAGGATTTCATGTGCCCCAAAAGGCAGGTTGGGTCAGATTTTGGTTGAGCCGGATCGCGGGCGTTAAATCCGCACACATGCCCGAGATTCTCTGTGGTGTGTGGGAGATACCCGTGGATAAAAAAGTCATCCACGGGGACTATACTTGCTCACAGCTTGCTGTAGCACTCATATCACGGGCAAATGCCTCCAATAAAATCGCATAAAACTTTCCATGGAGAACGTCGTCGCCTATATACACCCCGTCGCCGCCTATGAAACCCACGCTAATGCAGCACTACTATTGGAGGCTATACCGAGTTGATTTCTTTCGGTTTGTATTTGTGACCGAGGCGAGGCCTTTCATTTGACCATATCTTCCACCTTTACACAAACTAACGTCTCCCTCAGCATAGGTACATCCCCCTTCTGCTTTCAGTTATTCTCCTTTTAATTCTTGTTCTCAAGCAGCTGTTCCAAAAACATAGGCCAAATGTTCCATCGCTTGCCATAGTGGCAAGAATTAGGATAACATTTCTGTCACATCGTCTCATCAACGATCATGAGAACTCAACGAGGTCATAGGGTACGTCATCAAGAAGACCGTGAGGTCAAGCGACAGCGAATTATGTGTGCAGGATGGTGGGCTGCCAGCCGGGGCAATGATTTGATTGACGGTGCCACAGGAAATACGGGGGATGGCGAAGGTGGTAGAAAGGGGTTGAGGAAGTAGCATAAGTAGTAGTAGCAGTTGATGTCTATACTCATGGAGAACATGTATTATTCCTGGGCAAGACGTTTTCTTCATGAGAAGGTGTATGCTACTTGACGATTCATTGCGTATGAGATGAGTGCTACAGTACAATGACTAAGTTTACGAGAAGTCCTCATGGATAATTATTCTATCCGTGGGTGAGACATGGTGTCCATGGATAGATATACCCTATTCATCGATGAATGACATGCAACATATGCTATCTATAACCATCAAGAGTCCAAACCATGCTCCATGCAACAGACAGAATTCGAATATCACATCTCATATATGGGTTTTGGTTGCAGCTCAACAGGATACTTTGTCCCGTATCGCCGTAGCCAAGTCGGCGCCTCCTCTTATCACTTCGCTATTTTTGATTACTATTCCCCTACTACTTCCTCTTCAAGCACTCCGATGGCCTCAAGGACACAGTATCCTGCTTCACGAATGTCGATCGAGAGACCGGAACCTCTAGCATGCCACCTGGAAGATTTGTTCGCGCTTGAACAGGTACAAGCTTGTAACCCTTTTGAATTTTTCTCCCCCGCGAGATTGCTTTCGGCCCCGGCTCCTCGATAGTGGTTGTGGACGAGCTAACATCCTTGACTACATCTATCAGGGATGTCCATTGGCGAGTCGAGGTCCTCTTCAAGTGGGATCATGGTCCTAGGTCATCAAGATCGGCATCTCGGTCAGTTGGACGCTATGCTCAAACGTGTCTGTCTATACGAGTAAAGCATCCTTGGACTTTCTCAACCTTGCTCTTCCCTTTAGCCTCCAATGATCGTAGCAAACCTAATACATGTCATGTACCTCTGCTGTGGGACCGCCCTTGATTACTGAGCGTTCCGCGCCTACTGGCTTTGTTGAGCGAAGGTCCTAGTGGTTTGATCAGCTCGCTGCTTATGACAAAGAGCTCAAAGTCGGTAGGTAGAAAGGGTGCTTGGAATAAAGCTGGCTATTAGCTGTATGGTATGTATTAAGGGCAGGAAGAGACATTGATAAGGCTCTGATGGAAGCACAGCAGGATGCTTCCTCACTACCTCAATCCTCTAGCAGCCTTGTACGAGTCTAGGTACCTCAGGTAATGGAGATCATTGAGTGTCTGTACTCTAGCTCGTCACGCTCGTCTACGAGTACCTAGAGACCTTAGCGGCGGCTCTGCGGGACGATCTTTGTGCCCCACTATGTCGATTTCTGAGACAGAAGCCTGTCCCATCTCCTCTTTCTCTACCTACTTGCCTAAGTCTCTGACTTTTGTGTATTCGTAGGATCAGGTTTATATGATCTTGCCCTTCGCTTTTTCGCCTTTGAGTTCAGCTTTCTGGCCATTGAGACGTCCCTGCTACGACTCCTCGCTACCACAATGGACAACCCAAACCCCAACGCCGCTCAACAGGGTAACAGTCTCCCTCCAATTACTAGCTTGATCAGACCCGAGCAAATACCCAAACTTCCACACTTTCCCGAGCATCAAAAGGAGAAATACATTGAAGGCATCAGAAAACTATGGGAAACTATCGATACAACCTCCATAGGTTCCGAGCCATATCAAACCGCATATAAAAAGCTCATCGAGGTTACCCTCAATATCAAAGCAAAAATCAACAAAACAAGACAGGATGCTATGGCATTGCAGGCTGCGAATGGTGGTCAGCAAAGCGCCGCTCGGCCCACGAGCTCTGGTCAGCAGGTTCCACTACCGGACGCTCGATTACCGGCGCAACACATGCAAGCTGGAATTCAACCACAGACTCAAGGACCATTCTCTGAGAAGGTAATCCAGAAAGTCAGGGAGCTTGATATTCAAGCGCCACCCCAGGTTATCGCAACTGAAGGTCCAGAACGTGCAAAGCAGTGGGTGAAAGACACACAGAATAAGTACGCACAAC